AAATACCCCAAAACCCCAAAACCCCAAAACCCCAAAACCCCATCTGATAAAATTTTGAGAATTAATTTAGAAACTAATTGAAGAAATGTAATTAATTTCAAATTTATCAAAATGGCACAATACGGAAAACCTGAATACTGGGAAGACCGTTACCAGAAGTAATGCATTCTTAATAAATCTAATTTCCCTATAGAGACAAGGAACCATTTGACTGGTACCAAAGATACAGTGGTATTAAGGACGTTATCACTCAATATATCTAGCCAACTTTCCAAATCTTGAATATTGGATGTGGAAATTCAAGTAAGAATTTTAAATAAAGTTGACCTTGAATAGGATTAAGTGAGGAAATGTATGAAGATGGCTACCAACACATCACTAACATTGACATCTCCTTTACAGTAGTAAAGCAAATGCAAGAGATGTACAAGGAGAAGATCCCAAATCTACCTTTCAAATAAATGGATGTTCGTAGTTTGTAATACGACGATGGAACTTTCGATTCAGTCATTGATAAAGGAACTTTTGACTCAATTCTCTGTGGTGATGGATCAGGTCCAAACGCAGATTAGATGCTTAGTGAAATATATAGAGTGCTCTCACCAACTGGAGTGTATATCTGCATCAGCTATGGGCTTCCAGATCAGAGAATGGGATATTTCTAAAAACCAGAGTTTTATTGGACTATCTTCCAACATAAAATTGCCAAGCCCACCATCTCAACTTCAGCGGTTGTAGCTCAAGAAGATAAAAATGAGAAGAATTTCCACTACATCTATGTACTTAGAAAGCAAGTTGAACCCAAGGATAAATGAGCAACTTTTTAAGTGTGAAGTGAATAGAATATTATAATTGATTCTAAATTTTTATACTCTTCATGTAAAAACATTAACTTAAATTCTTTATATCGATCAAACAATTAAAGCTTTAATTAAAGTCAAACTATGTTATAGGTATCATAATCATTTCTTAGAGAAAGTACTCATTTTTGACATAGAAGTAGAACTCATCATAGATCTTTGTGATGGGGCACCAGTAGTTTTCTTCGATGCTTTTGATTCTTGCTTTGGCTTGGGTTTTTCTGGCATTTCATTACCTTCAACCAACTCATAATGGCTCTCCATGAATCCTTCGATACCACCAGTAACCAAATAGATATTATCAAATCCTTTCTCGTGAAGAAGCTTTGCATAATGAGTACCATTTCTTTCATCATTCATATAGACTGCTATTATCTTGTCAGTCTGGTTTTTGAATCTCAAAAGCTGTCCGAATACCTTATCTCTAGAAATGTTAGGGGCTGGGAAGCTGATTGATTCCCTAATATGGAACTTCTTGTAATCTTCCTCATCTCTCAAATCAAGCAAGATGAACTTTGTCTCCGAAGTTAGACCAAGAATTTCAGTTGAAGCAGTGACAGCTGATTTCACAGTCTCTGCGACACTAGTAACGGAGCCAGTTTAACTCATGATATCAAAGTTATTTTCTTTATTTTCATAATCATTAGCTTGACCCATCAATCCAAACACAGACTCTTCGTTGTTTGTTTCGTTTAAGAATTTAGCTATTGTACTAGGCTTAATTCTTCCAAAGCTTTCTCCTTTTCTTTTAGCTACCAAATTATCGCTAATAATTTGAACGTCTCTCACTGTCTTGCCATGGTTGATAACACTCTTCACTTCAGAATATTTAGGATTAGTCTTAACTTTTTTGTTAATTGCCTAATTATGTAACTATTAAGTAAGATATTATTACATCTTTGCTTCCAAAGATTTCCCCCATTCCCTTCTTATCATAAGCTGATTTTCCTTTTCCTATGTTCACTCGTGATGATGATTCCATTATTCTAAATAATATTTGAATTTTAAATTCAACATTCATCTAAATTACAGCAGATATGATGAAATTATGCACAGGGGTTTTGGGGTTTTGGGGTTTTGGGGTTTTGGGG